TTGAAATTTTGGATTTTAAGTATGTGATTATAGCTTACTAGATGACGAAAATTTCTGCGTTCTGGTCTTATCCAAAGGTTCTCAAATAGAGACCTGAAAATGCGGCGAAATGGTTCCAGTAAAGGATGGTACGGCAGTGTTTGCTTCGCGCTCGACTTGGCGGGGGCACTGCCGTGCCCCCAGATTATTATTGAATGTGTGTACAGCAATATAAAAAATATTATTATGACGTGTAGATAATAATACCTATGTATTTACCATACTACAAAGAAAAATAGGTCTTTATAATACGAGAACATCTTCATCTTCATAATTATGTAAGTATTCTGCCTATCTGAAATGCCTGAAGCACTACACATGTTACAATGAATATGTATATTAGATGCAAACACATATTAGCTTGAGCTAACAATGCCAGGTTGCCCCAAATCTTGAAAAAATATTATACTTTTGACGATAAACTTCGTTCAATTTTTAATGTTTAGGATTTACGATATTCGTCTTCTAATGTGTCTTTATGAAATGCTAGTTTTTGCTCCGTGACTTTATTTTCTAAAATATGTATTAGTTATTTAGTAAAATGTCAAACAAATAGGTATATTTTCATCTTCACAATAGGCTAGATGACAAAATTTCTTTTATTTGTCAGTCAGACAGATAAATTAGAAAATATTAGACTCATATTTTTTATTTTCTTTCACAATTAAATAATAACAGTGCTACATGTGGCTACATCGAGTTGAAATGGCGCGATACGTCACGCTTGAGTAGAATTTTTACTCAAAAGTGACGTCATTTCATCTCAATATAATACTGTAATTATTGGATTATGGAAAAAAAATATGAGTCTAATATTTTCTAATTATCTGTCTGACGGACTAAATAGAATTTCGATTTAATTACCCAGTCATCATCCCTATTCTAGCAAACACACGGAAATCGGTTCGTTCTTTTCTGATTGCCCCCTTTCAAAAACTAAAGAAAAATCAATAATAGATTTTATGTGTTTATTTTACTACAATTAAACTATTCAAAAAATATTTTAAGCCTATTATTTATTAAATACATCCAATCGGAACAGATCAGCGGCGGATCTTAGGACGGACGACGCTCGAGATGCTACGTTGGAACCAGAACCAGAGGCTGAGGAGGTCGGCCTGGAGTGGGCGACGGGCTTCTCAGTCTCCCAGAAGCTTAGGGCAAATACCAACTCTGCCCAGAACGCTTCAGTCTGTGTCATCTGTAATCATAGAATTAGAGGCTTTACAAAACTGTACAAGAAATAAAAAGAAACGAAAAAAAATCTTTAAGGCGCAAATCGCTTCGTTTCTGAAAATGAAATTCGTGGAACTAATTTTATGAGAAAGACGCCAAGCGAACAGACGTCATGTCAAGTAGGTATTATGTGGAAACGCGTACCTAAAACAGCCCTGCCAGCTCTGTGCAAAGTTTGAAAGATATTTTAGGGTTTGTTTCATCTATTCCTAATAAAGTTTCAGAGAGTTTTCGGATTTATAATGTTATCTTATAAATGAGGGTCTTATAAAGCTGACACAAAGGTTGGTTGAAGGATAATGCTTTTAGTCACCATTTGTACATTATTTTGAGCATAGTTCATACCTTTTGTTCAATGGCAACTTCTCTGATATGCCACAGGAACTCGAAAATGCCCATAGCCGATGCGATACCACATCCTATTCCCAACACCACGAATACCCCTCCAACGTTGTCTACACCCAGTTCAGCTGCACTGGCTCCCTCTTCTTCTTCTTCAGCCTAGAATAAAAAGTTAGTAGTAGTTAGTACATAAATATGTTTTTTGATAAGGCATAATATACTCGTAGAGCAAAAACGTTGAAAAGCATCATAAATGGATTTTGATTTGGTTCCAATCTCAAGGAGCAAGACTTAAATTATTACAACTACCTACACCATAGAAGAAAAGATGATCTTTGAATAGGAAAACTTACTTCACATGCTCCAGTATCAGGGGCTTTCCACCATCGATTTTTGAGCTCTACCAATTTTCCAGCTTCGGCTAATTTCAAGACGGCGTTATCCACAGCTGTTCGGTATGATGAAACTAATAACAGGATAGGCTTTTAATAAATAATGTAACATCAAAATATTAATCGGCTAATATTTTATAAAGCTCCGGGCCTTTCGATCGAGATATTCTAGGAATTACGTCCAGAGTTTGAAAGTAATTATAACAGGATTTACAATAGCCACTGAGGCTTAACGAATCAGAAACAAATAGGTTAGTCCCTGTTTATAATAAAGGTTGAGGGTAGAGGTAATACGTAATACTTATTTTATTATTAATTTTTAATAACTTTCGTAACGAATAATTATTGTTGGAAGAAAAAAACACACGAGGTAAAGTTTTCGGGTATCAATTTTAACATAACATTCTTAATAATACTTACAAAATGGCATAGCTATTCCATAACCTTTAGAATCGAGTAATCCCCCCACTTGCATTAGATCGCAGTGTCTTTCGAGTTGGTATTCGATAGCCGTGGACTCCATTAGGAATGCGTACGTCCGTTTGCTCTTGAGCACTCTTTCGACACCTTCGTCGTTGTTTTTCATGAAAACCGAGGGTCGAGCTGATTCCATTGCAGCCCACATTCTTGCATAAGTGGATACATTTGATCTCTAAAAATAGAAGTAAAATTATGGTTTTGGTAGTAATTCGTGTTTTCAGCAAATATTTAATCTTCTTCGTGTAGCACATGAGTTATTAAAGGTTCAAGATAGGTAATATTTTATGATTGAAATATTCCAGCTTTGAGTCTTCCTATTGAGAGACATAATTCAAAACAAACATTTCTTGATAAAGCTGGGTCTTGAATTCGTAATAAATTCACTGTAAGGCATCTTTATGTACTCAAGCTTGGAGTGAAAGCGTAAGCTTTTGCAAAATATGCGTAGGTAATACTCGTATATTGGGTACCTTAAAGAATGAATAAGTAGATCCGCCAGCCACGGTTCCGTACTTTATTTTAGTTTGCATTGCTAAATCTTCAGCACTTTTGATCGAATCATCCATAGCAGCATTGGTAAGGAACGCAGCCAAGTTTGCAGTATAGGATGAACACATAATCAGTGCAAAGAACCACCACATACCGCATACCCATCTAGTAGAATATCCTCTGTAAAAATTATGGTAAGTTTGTTAAGTTTATATGAAGGACGTAGGTATATCGTACCTATGTATAAAATTATACAAAGTAAAAGTACCTATGTACAGAAAACAATTGCTTACTTCGGCAAAATGTCTGATCCCTGTGTCATGATGGATCCCATAGTCAGCCAGCAGGAATTTTTGATATGCCAAATATTCTCTAATTCTTCGGGAGATTTGTCACAAGGATGTGGATTTTCCCAGTCATTAGGAGCCAATCTGTAATCCAATAAAATTAAGTGTTGCTTTTGTTAAGATAGAAAATTAAGGAAAAATAAACTTATAAAATGTTTACCTGGCTAAAACGTGAAGTAATAAAGAAACCATTAAATAAGCAGCGGCCATGTAAATCCAAACATCTACTGAAAATGGTTTCAGGAAAGAGAACAGTTCAGGTTCGGGAGGAGTGGGTTTCGAATACAAGATACTGATACCCAACGTCATGAAAGGTGTGGTGAAGTCAACGTAAGATCTTCGCTCGTATGTTATTGTTAAATCGCAAATCGCCAAGTCCGCTTTCTACAAACAAAAATAATCTGTAAGTATCAGTGGTTACAAGAATTGAATAAAAAATAAATTCTAATTACCCGTTCCAAAAGATGTCCAACAAGCCCGTCCCATTTCTTGGTGTCCTTATTATAAGAACCATACAAATTGCCAGGAACAATTTCAATTTCATAATTCAGATGCAGCGTTTCCTTCAATATCTCATGTATCAAATCTTTTGAATACCCTTCGTATCGATCATTACCAACTAAGACTTTTCCTTCTTCGGGAACCTTTTCAATAAGATATGGTGCACCGATACGTGATACCACTTTGAATGTTTTGTTTTGCCATTTTTCAGCTAGGAGATCTGATACTTCGTTAGCAGATCTGGCGTATTCGAAACCAGTTTCTGCATTCCATTTGGCAATGCTATTGAATCCGCTATTAGAAAGTTCCATTACATCTACGTTAAAATTGGTGCGTTCACCAGTGGCGTTATCAACAAGTACCTTGCCTGTTATTCCTACTATGGGGTTCTGAAATAAGGATAGGTCATATTTTGCGTATTATTGAGTAAGTTCATTGTATAGTTTTATATTTATTTTTGCGTCTATTACCGTCAGTATATGGTTTATAAAGTCATCTCCAATTTCCCATACATCTTCAGATCCACATTCTATTGGTTGCGCTTCTATTTTGAATTCTTCTGGTGCGCTTTCCACGGCATTTGTTATGAGTACTGCTGCATCACTAGCCAAAGCGGCTTCAACCTGTAACCATGTTACCGTGAAAGTGATGAAAGATTTAGAATATGCAATTTCATTAGTAGGACACTTACAGTGATCTCGTGAGTTTCTCCAGGAATTTTGACATCAGGTGAACCTCTAATTTTCCAGTCAGCTAAATAATATCTCGTCCTTGAATCGTCGTGGTCGAAAATTTTTAGACAAGTTACATTCGACAGATTGTATCGCAGTTCTTCTAAATCCAATGTATGCGCATCAAGTGACATCAGTACATAGCTCTGGATAAGGTAAAAATATTTCTTACAAATTACTTTAAAATATATAAAGTATTAGCATCTGATTAGTCTAATATTAGTATAAGTCTTACCATATAATCTTCAAAAAATTTAACTTCGTTTGCTTGGCGAAGATATTCCATGATTCTATCGGCCGGACAGTCTAGTATAACTCTGGTTTCTCCTGTAGCCTTCAAAGTTTTTAGTAAAGGTCGGTTGTCTTCCCCGGGGACCAATCTCCGTACCAGCCATTTGTGTTCAGGATTAGCATATTTCAGTATTTCTTGTAGTCTTATTAGGCCTTGAAAGAAATGGTAAAGTTTTTACTTTACGTTATTTTATCATCTTATTATCAAGTTATTTAGTGTTACCAGAGGCAAATTGAGGATTTTGCATGCACTAGTATTTACTTACGTACCATGATCATCGTCATACAGTAGCGTGTATGTGTTCCAATCGCTGTCCTTTATGAAGAGAGCTACGGCTTTGGAAAGAGCTACTGCCTCAGGGTATAAATTGATGCCAGGCGGCGTCGGTGGCTGAAGACCGCGAACAGGCGGTGGGCGCCATATTGCCTGAATGTAGGAATTTGAGAAAGTGCTTTTTAATGAATATTCTTTAATTTACTGTTTTACTCAGCAGTCTTGTGCCATAAATGCTTAGTTTTGACTAATCAAACTAATGTTCTTATCAAACTTACCTGAATAAAGGGTATTTTAGCAGCTCTACAACGAGCGTCCACGACAGAGGCTGAGGTAATATCGGTAGGTCCAAATATTGCTATGACCCCTCCAGCAATTAGCTCACATGCTGCAATTATATATTTTCACGACATAAATTTGATGTAGTTTATTGAGAGTTAAGTAATTGAATTTCAGTTCCTCAGGTCTAAACTTCGTTTCATTGATCAGATTAGCTTCTTACCGGCCTTCGAAGCGGCGAAGCTGTCGCCGTAAGGAGCGTAAAGTGGTTTCAGGACAAAATGGAAGCGTTCACTTTCCATCGACGCGCGAGTAAGGGCAGAAGCAAATGCCACCTCGGTAACAGTGTTTGGAGGGAAGATGGCTCCTGAAAAACGTTAGTCTTTATTCAAATTAACTATTTCAAAACAGATATCGCAGTGGATAGAGGATTTATCGTATCTATGACGAAGCTAAAGTAATATATCACATTTTCTCAAAACGAATAAATAAGTTTTTTATTGTATTAAATGTCAAAAACTTTTAAGGTCACAAAACGGGAATTTTGTCTGGAAAGTTTTTTGGCAAAGATATTGATGCCTAAGAAAGTTAGGCAAAATTTTTATTTTAACAATTGATATTTCACTAGTTCTAACACAGTCATCTACTTCAAAGTTTAAACAGCTAAAAGTTTTGATCTTATTCCAAGAAAATTCTACACCAGAATACAGCTGCCTTACCAATATTAATAGTGGTCTTGAGGGACTCATAATTCCGGAACACTCCTTCTGTATATCTCAAAATGAGAGCAGTTAATACAACTGTCACGTATTTTATCCCTGCAAAGTGAGAAACATAAGACCGTAAAGTCCGCTTTAAAACGCGCCCAAAACAATTTAACGGGTCCTAGGCAATATAAGTTTCCAAACTCGTGTCCCAGTAAATTCTCGAAGTTGCGGATAAAAGTAAAAAGTACTCGCCCCAGAGCTGTAGCATTTTTGAGACGAGATTTCCGTGAATAAAGTAGTGAATTGGAACAATGGTATTCAGTGCAGCTGTCGCATTACAACTTTGCCTGTCGCCGACTAGTGTTTACTGGGACATTGCAAACATCACTGGGATTCTGAGTGGAGCGACACGGGCCGCACGGGTCGCATCGCGCGGGGACTCGGCCCAACGCATCGATGCACTATCACAACAGCTGTTTGGCCAACTGCACCCGAATTTATAAATAGGTTATGATTAGTAGGCCGGTTCGATTTGAAATGGGACTTTGACAATGAGCTCTATACGGGAAGCGTTCGCGGTCAACTTTACGCACTTCACTGAGTTATAAAATAAGTTATTTTAACTCAGGCTCATATTCAGAAACTAAGCTTAACCTCGATTTAATCTGACAGATCTTGAATCTGATCATGAGATTCAATTTATTTTTGAATTATTTACCTATTATAAATCAGTGCCATTACAAATATTTTCCTATTTTATATTATAGTAGCTTTAAGTAATTAAGTTAAAACCAAAAATGGGGTAACCTATTTTCAATTTAAGAAAGAGCCATCATGGAAAACTTTTCCAAATGCACAATAAATCAGCGCGCCTCAATGGACATGCTATCGGGGCAAATGTAAAACAAGATTCGCAGAGTTTTTCTAATCAGCCCGCTTTGGTTGCGCCGGAGCGTGGTCGTGCAATCGCTTGGCAGGCGGCCAGCTCACCGCGACACACTTCCATGTGCTTCCATTTTGTGCTGTGGCGATGTGCCGAACGTATACAAGTACTCGAGTACTGGACAGCTAATCTATTTTCGAAGGGTTTTATTCAATCGGTGCTGATAGAACACTGAAATGTAGAGTCCTGAAGTGCCTGTAAGAACTTTTAGCTGGTATTTTATTGAAATGGTATTTCTTATAATTTTTAATTTCCTTTTTAGTACCAGCCAATACGATGCCCTGAATTTGAGACGGCACGCTACAATGGGGTACTTACATTTAGAACCTACATGCTAATTGAGAATTTAAATATTATATGACTTGTATCTGCTCGGAGAGGCGGCTGTAAATAATTGATACCAAACACTTTACGGGCGCTCAAAATACTGATTGTAGTCACATTTGCGCTGGCAAGCATGTATTGTGTTGTACTAAGGCTGGGTTGCTGCACCATTTTAAGTACTTTAACTTTAACAAACGTCAAAAATCTCTCAAATTCCATACAAAAACACCGGTTATCGTCAATCAAAGTTAGGTGGTGCAACTCAAGCATATGTTTTTGAGTCAAGAAGACTCAAGTTAAAAAAAATGGTTGTCGACAACGATACATCACTAGAGCCGCATTGTTGACCGACGGCTGACGCAGTAGTTTCCCGGATTGTATGCTCTTGTTGATGGAATGATATGATTTTTTATTTACTCTTCATTTCATACAACAGCGGCCAAATTCGAACAAACCTTGCTCAGCGACCTTTGGCTATGCCAAAAAGGAAAAGTAGAACATACCTATTTTAGGGAGACTTATGTCCGTTTTCACCATCAATCCCTTATTTTTAAGGGATCCCTATGAAAACCAAATATCCGTTAAGTGTTACCATAGGGGTCACTTAAAAATTGGGATTGATGTCGAAAACGGGCATTATTCGCTTTAACCTAATACAGTCCACTGAAGGACAAAGGCCATGCATTTCCATAACGACCGCTTCTGCGTTGCCCACATCCAGGTGCTTCCCGCGACCTTCACCAGATCATCGATCCACCGAGTTTGAAATCTAATAATTAAATTACCTATTTCGTACCGCAGAAACAAAATATTTTTAACTTTAGAAACTTTTAGTAGCATAAATAAAAATGTAGAGTTAAGAAAGTATCACTTAGGTACAGCATTCGTTAACGGGCAAAACCCTCCATTTAAAAGCGAACGTTACTTTTACTGGAACAACCTTTGAACTGCGACACGTCGCAGAATTAATGAGACAAGTTATAAGGTGAAACGCCTGACGACTGCGAATCGCCGCGACGTTGCAAAGCTGATCCCTCATTAAAATTATTTCAGATGAGATTCACGAGATATTTTCATTTGGAGATATTTTCTGAATTTTTCTGATCTAAGATTGTGTTTCAAATAATATTTAAATCCGACTCAGTTAACTTAAAAAATCTGCAGAAACACACTAAATACACACATAAAATTTTTAAACAAAAGGTTACGTCATTATATTGAATTCATCGCAGTATAATAAGTCCTAGGCTTTTCCTTGAAGTTTAGATGCATGATTTATTTGAATGGGGTACCCATTTAAAATCAGTGTTAACTTTTTCGTCTATTACATAATTAATTATGGATCATTAGAAGATAAGTTTAATGAGCGAAGACTTTACTGAAGATTTAACTTTTTATAATGAGTTTCCGTAAAATGATTAATTTTGAAACTGGTCGATTAAACTCCGCGTACAATATTCAAACTGCGCGGATCCTACTCACTCAATGGGATTATCTTTTTTCATCATCATTCTGTAATTATACCTTTTTTGTACTTTACATTTTGTTGAAACTAATTTAGCCGTAATTCCTCAGGAGACGTCTAAATTATTAGGGAATTAGGAAAGGCCAGCAGAATTTAAGAACGGATTGTGAAATTAGAGCAACATTTCTGCGAAGGATTTCGTTTTAAAAGCTTTGTTTAGGGTAGCGGTGCATTTTATAATAATCTAGATAACAATAGCTATACGTTGTCGTAAACTAAAAATACTTGCTGAGCACTTATTGGTTTCTATACAATTTAATAGAAGATACTTAACATTAGACTCTACAGATTTTTTTTTCCCGAATTTCGAGCTGAACAAGGTGTGGTTTTGATAAAAATGTCTGCTAAACCCATTACCATTATATAAATAGTATCAGATTACGAGTATTTAAGAACCATTAATTTCGACGAGAAACGAAACGGGTCCAAAACTTATACAAAACAATAACAAAATAGAGTCGGGTCGGTATTGATAACACAATGCTATAGATTGCCGAACTATTTGCACAGATATCTTCCCTTTTCAACTTGGATTTAATGAGGCAAGTATCATTTTACGGCAGTGTTTTTCAACCTGTGGATCGCAGCCTCTATAGGGGGGACGCGAGAGGTCCTTAAAACTACCTCAGTAAAAAAAACAATAGTTATAAAGACAGATTTATCCGAAATCTAATTATGCAAATGCATTAAAATGTTGTATGGATTGAAGTATTCGGTCCATACAAACATCTTTGTAACATTATAAAATGCATGAAAAAAAGCGAACGGTCGGGGGGGTCGCCAAATATTTTTTTCATACTAGGGGGGTCGTGTCATGAAAAAGGTTGAAAATCACTGCTTTACGGAGTACACTGGGTATCGAGATTTCCGAACTCGATCTTGCACAAAAACATCATTAATAGGGATCACGGTACGAATTAACGATGTTTAATTATGCCAGTATCGGTATTTAAAGCTATCTTTTCAACTTAATTAACTGCCATCTTATAGTAACACTAAAAGAAATACCTACTTATATCGTTCACTAAAAAAATAATATAATTTACAAAGTATTGAACTAAGTTCTCATTTTATTATGAACAGACTTAGAAATTAATTATTTATTTCAATGGCCCAGAAGCGTTTAGATACCTAATGGCGTAGACTGTTACTGATATCCTTGAATTTTTAATTTATCGGTTTAAATGCCTTTTGTTCAAACTTTTGAAGGCATGCTTGTAAAAGTTAATTATACGAGGAAGTACTATTATAAGAAAGTTCACGGCCTTTACTTTTTATTTTATTTCAGATTTTGCTTTCTTTCAGTGGACGTACTGAAAAAGAAAAAAGTTGACTACCTATTGCTAGCAGAAACACAGGATATTAGTTTATCTGGCTATGATATCAACCAAAATGCATGTTAATACACCTACTAAGTCTTTTCTAGTCATTGGATAAATATTTTACATTATTACACACACACGGCACACGGGGACAAAAGTTTACCTTTATAATCTTAATCCTATTGATACAGTCTTCGTTAAAAACTTTACTTGAATTTCATCTTGGGAAGCAATTCATTTTATTTTCGGAGTCTCGTTATAAAACACTGACAACCTACGCAAATATTAAATCGAAATATCCATGCGTTGGAGGCATTTGTCAATTCACAAAAGAGTAAAGTCGTAAGTACACATTGTAAAGAGGAAATGAATGAAATGTTAACGGCCATTCTCATATGAGCTAGTTTTTGCGTGTCCGGGCTGTTAAATCGTTAAAAATGACAAATTAGAGACATGCAAGTATTTTTATATGTTACTTAACAACCCTATCCAGTTGTGCATTAAATCATAGGCCTTTATTTTAAGTATTTGTGTCTAAATTAATTTCATGAAACCCTGTTCTCTAATTACCGTTACGCGTCCGCACACCGACTTAATGTTAAAAGTTGGCTGTAATTTTTATGTCGTAAAGATTTGGTTTACTCCATTCAACATTTTAAAGAGTATAAAAGATTGTCTTATGCATGGCAAAATATCTATTCAATAGAACCATTCTGTAAATAATTAGAATTAAAAAACTGCTTGTCCGAGCGAAAATCCTAATTCCCGTGACGTTTTTTGTTTTTGGGCACACAAGCCTAAATAATAATATTTGACACATCATTTACGCGCGCGGCGCGAGCCCTTAGTTAGTTCTATGACCTGTAAGCAAGTAGACGTCTATTGCGTTGGCGTACCGTCGATGAATTGCGTAAGAGTATAATTACCATATCTTTGGTTTTCAATTTTTCTATTTACCATGGTCCTTATTTTTAAACTAGATTTTTGAAGG